ATAAATTTAAAAAGTAAAAGTTTTTAATAACCCCTAAGAACTCTCATTTAACATTTTATATTTAAATAATTTTTAAATATTATGAAAATTGAAAAAACATCATAGTTTATTAAATATCTTATGTCATAAGACGAATTTTTTTTGCACGAGGACAATAATTAATAAAAATTATTAATATTAATTAATATCAGTTTCAAAATAGTAAAAGTTTTATGTATTTGGGGGGTTCCTATAAATAATAACTGTGTCTGATAAAGAAATTTGTCTCAAAATAGCCAAAGCAAACAGAAGTACCACTGTATCCTATAGGATTAAATAAAATGCTAAAGTCAAAAGAATTATCACCCAAAATAAAAATAGGAATTTATAAAACCAATATAGAACCTACTATATTATATTCGTGTGAAATCTGGGTGTTAAATAGGAGTGGTCAAATAAAGCTGGAGATATGGGAAAGAAAAATTATCTGCAGAGTGTTTGGAGGAAAAAAGTTAAAGAGGGAAGAATGAGACGAACAAATGCAGAAATTTATGGTATTTATAAGGAACCCAAAACATTAAGAAGCTATAAAACTAACTAATCACTTAGCTACTAATTAATAATATATCACTACTGTACAAGAGTCTATTTATTTGCACGTATATTTAATTAATAATTAAGCAAGCGCCTTCCCGAACATTCCAGCGAGCTCCGGTGTGCTCTCGAGCGCTGACTCACCGGCGATAATATAGAGTTGACAGTATTGGTGTCATAGTAATTGAAAACATCCCTAAATGCTGGTATCAGCTATGATATCCCTAGGATATTGATAAAACACATAATTTTATGACAATTGAAAGCACGTTGCTTGCTAACAGTAGTAAAGTAAATTTACGTTATGTTTATAAAAATAACACTCTTCCAGATGCAGAAACGCATTGATAAATACCTCTATACCGTTTACAAAAATTTATTATTCATAGAAATTTTGTATATTTTACAAATCCCTTTTCGTTTAAAATAGAACTTTTTTTATGATATTAATAAAATTTATGTAAATTCGAGCGGAATATACCGTTTACAAAAATTTATTATTCATATAAATTTTGTAAATTTTAAAAATCCCTTTTCGTTTAAAATATAACTTTTTTTATGATATTAATAAAATGTATGTAAATTTAACAACAAATTAATTGTTATTTCAATAAACAATGGTCATATTTTCAACCTACTGTTGGGTAGTTTTTTTTTAAATAATTACAAGGCATTAAAACAAATTATTTATTATAACTAAAAAATTAACTCATATTATCTGGTGAACAAAATAAAAATATATGAACTCACTTTTTAAACAACAAGTCTGCTTCTTTTATGGAATATACCTTAAATATTTCTTTTAGAAAACGTCGAAATTTTAATTTTCTTAGTGATCTTTTTGATATTTTTATCATTTTTGATTAGATTAGATTTTACCACACTTCACTCGAGTGATCGCACAAGTGAAATCAATAAGATTATAACACAGACTGTGGATTATAAAGTTATGTTCACCAAGGAGAGCGCTGGCCCTTTCCCCCTCTTTTTAAGTGAAATTACAAAAATTTTGTTACCATTGCAAAATAATAGTAAAAATTAAAAAAGTTAATTTGAATTACAACGATAGTAATTTAAAAAACACAAATATGCCATAGTAAAATGAACGAATTTTACTATTACAACTGCGGATTACTATAATATATTATGTAAGCGCAATTCACACACAACTATAGATTTTAACAGGGCCGGATTAAGACAATTTGTCGCCCTAGGCCAGTAATAATGGCGCCTATAATTACATGGTATTAATATAACACAATACCTGTTAGCCGACAGGGGTGCTCATAGAGGGACAAGTAGGGTTTTATAAAAAAATTTACAAAAAAATAATTAAAAAAATAATTCATTTTTATATAGAAAAACAAAACAATGAACTTAATTTTTACAGTTTTTAAATAACCTAAAACAGAATTTTACCTATAAAATTTCTTCGTTGATACTGCAAAAGGTCACTTTGATGCCTTTTTGCACAAAAATAAAAAAATCGATTTTTTTTATTTTTGTGGGATATTTCTCTTCTCAGAAGAGTCTTCTGCAGAAAGGCGTTCAAGTGAAACGACTTTTGGCATTATCAACGACGATTTACAATTTTTTTCCTGCATTTAAAATCGGAAAAGGACTGAAAAATATTTTCAAAATTTATTTTGTTGACTTCTTTTGCTTCTATAGATAGAAAAGCTAGATTAGCAGTTTTCTCGTCTACTAGGCAACTGCTTTGAACATTTTTAGAAAAAGATCTGTGCTTTTAAAATAAAAATGGTATTACACGTTTAATAATTATAATTATTTATTTTAATTGATTAATTTTAAAATTCAACCTACTTTAAAAAAATTGAGCCTTCTGCCTGGGCCTAGGGTTAATCCAGCACTGGATTTTAAGTTCGACAAAGATTTAATATACATAAAGTATTTCTTATCGCCATGGCAATATGATAACAACTATTACTTTGTTGGATGAACATTTTTTTTATAAAAGCTCAACATTGCTGCTTCATTATAGTAAATGAGAATTTTATTAACAGTAAAAAAAGTTTATTCGGTAAATAAAAATAATCTCATTACTTTGACAAATCGCAGTTTTTTATCCCAATAAGACACTGGAAATTTAATAAAAAAGGTACCTTAGGTGGTACATTTTTTTATAGCCATTACAATTTTAAATTTAAGTTATTATTATCATGTACATTTTTTTGAGTGTAGACAAGCTTGTTGGTTAGCTTATTGGAAAATATATAAATGTATTAAATAAATATATAATAATAATAATATACCTATAGATGATTTTAATTTTTAGCGGAATTCAATTAATTCTGATGGCAGAAAAAAAAATTTAGGGAGAAATTAAATGGGTTAAACCTCATTATCTTTTGTCCCGCATGAAAAATGCATCATTCCGTCAAATTAATAACTTTTTAAAAGTTCAAAGGCTTAATTTGACGAAAATTGTAAAACTTTTTCTGTTGACTATAAATTTGATTGACGATGAAATCACTCAAAAATGTAAATCTTAGTCGACATAAACAAAATTCACTAACGAATATGAAACGAAATTTACCAAAATCATTAAACATGAGGATAATGATTTGAATTCTTTTTATTATTTATTTTCTTGACTGAAAAATTTCGCTGACAAATTCAAATTTACTTGGCATCAAATTATTGTGAATTTGTGACTTTCGACCACGTTATTTAAATTTAAATTTTATGTGCTTAATTTATGGTTTTTACCCTGCATATTATGCGGCATATTTGTTTTTTTAGTGCATAGTTTTCACAGCCTTACCTATTACCCTTTAGTTCCTTGTTGAAAAAAATAAGCTATAAAACATTGATCATTAAAATAAAAAATAAAAATACTAGGTACTATTTTTATAAAACTAAGGCATATTTGGTTTTTTAGTGCAAAAATTACCTATAAAAAATTGATCATTAAAATAAAAAATAAGAATACTAGGTACTACACTCACAGGCAAAATAATCGATCCACTCAAATTTCCGATGAATTTCAATCGTAAATAACTTGTTTATTTGATGTCGGATTTAAACGAATATTAAAGAATATTGTAGATAAATTAATGGACAATCGCTCACATTTTAAAAAATTACTAAAAAATAGACGTACGTTTATAATATACAGGTTTAAACAAAAAGATGTTTTTTACCATAAGTTTAAGACACTCTGTAGAGTGGCAAAACCGTATATTGTTCTAAATTAAGTTTTATTTATCAAGTCACATCTATTCTTAACAGTTTTGTTTTTGGTTTACCTAGATATATTTATTTTTTTGGAAAATATGGATTAAAAAAAAAACATTGCAATTCCCAATATTTTTCTGTATGAAGAACTAAGGTTGCTATGGTCCATCCATAGGCTATGGAAAATGACAGTGACAGTTTTGTTGAATCATCCCATACTTGGACATGCCATACACGGCTTTCAAAATCTATCAAATTGTTTTTTGCAAATTAATTTAAATTTCTTACTTAAAAAAATGGATATGTCTCCGACTGATGTTACCAGAGCCATTAATTTAATCCAGGATGGACGGTCACAGTATTACGTGGCAAGTGTTTTAAACGTCACAAGAATTAAAGTACAAAGGGCAACATTAGTCGGAGACATTTTTAAAAGTAAGAAGACACCTAAAAATTAACACATTAATTTACAAAAAACAATTTGATAGCTTTTGAAAGATGTATATGACATGTCCAAGTATGGGATGATTCAACAAAACTGTCACTGTCATCCTCCCTAGGCTATGGATGGAGCAACCTTAGTTCTTCATACAGGAAAAATATTGGAAATTGCAATGTTTTTAAAAAAAAATCCATATTTTCCACAAAAATAAATATATCAAGGTGAACCAAAAACAAAACTGTTAAAAATAGATGTGACTTGATAATTAAAATTTAATTTAGAACAATATACTGTTTTGCCACTCTACTCTGTCTTAAACTTATGGTAAAAAACATCTTTTTGTTTAAACCTGTATATTACAAACGTACGTGTATTTTTTAGTAATTTTTAAAATGTGAGCGATTCTCCATTAATGTATCTACTATATTCTTTAATATTTGTTTAAATCCGAAATCAAATAAAAAAGTTATTTGCGATTGAAATTCATCGAAAATTTGTGCGGATCGATTATTTTGTCTGTGAGTGTATCTTTATAAAAACTACTTATAGCTATAAAAAAAGTATGTAAACATTATACGAGAATTACAAAAATACAAATTACTGAAAAATTATAGGGGCGGCAAAAATGTTGCCCCAAGGTGCATGCATGCTTTCCGAAGCCGGCTCTGACAGCAGTACCTACCCCGGAGCCATGGGCCCATGCTACAATCGTACCATGCTACACGCACACATATGTGCCGACCATCTACGATCTCACGCGACACGTTTAAAAACCATACCATGAGCTGGTACCTGTTGCTCGGCACCCAAGCATCTGGACTTCACTTTAGTCGGCTCGAAATATTTTAAAGCTGAGGTATTCGTTCTCACCAACCGTTTTCTCTGTGTATGTGTATGTATACTGACTTTGGAGGTTATGTTCATCTAACTTTAACCTAGTGCTTTAAACGTTATTGTACTGTTTTTATAAGTGCCAGTGTAGTGTACTTTAATTTTTTATTTTCGTGTTGGTACTGATTTTCCGTGTACTTATTGGAAATCAAGTTTATGGAATTTTTAGGATTGTAGCCTTCAGAAGGTAACACCAACATTTTTCTTAAATTCCAACAGGATTTTTACTTTCTTTCTCGACATTTTTTTAGGTTTATTAACGGTTTTTTTAATACCAGTCTTCATTGGAGTCTGTATTTTGTGATAATTCTTTAGTAGTAAATGTTTATTTAAATTAGTCAAATCAATAATAAAAAACCTGTTTCCTCTATTACAATTTTATAATTAGGCTTTAAAAAACGATTTCCAAATGGTTTTGAGCTAAACAACCAAATTATTTTGGTATACCTGCATGTTTTGTTTTACAATGATCTTTCAAAAGGGAGTTTAATTGAATTAAGGAGGGATCATTTTAATTGTTTTGTTTACACATGAAAATGATTTTATTTATAGAAAATATGTGTAATTATTATTAAATTAATTGTTGTTTATATTGTACTTTAATTAATGCAAATTTTGCTAAATACCTTAGGTAGTGAATAATAATTTTTTCAAGTTGATTAATTTATTTTTGAAATTCCTAGAGTGTAATAAAATGTCAATACAAAGCACACTTTGATATTTTGGGTACAAAATATTATTTATCTACGACTGTTACGTAAACTGTCAAAAACAGACCCATCAAGTTGTCATGTAAGTATGCCATACTGTACACTGTTATGTATTGTACGAAGTGCATTATATATAATGCAGTTGTGCTAGGGAATTTTTGTTTATTACCAACGTTATGGTTTCCAAAAAATTAAAAAAAATTGTTGAAAAGGTTGAGAATTAATGTAGTCGTAGAAAAAGTCTCTTGCGGCGTTACACACTCGCCGCAAGCGGCGTCGTGTGTAACCTCGCCATAATATGCTATTTACGTACTTGCAATATAATATACTATTTTCTACCTGCGAATTAGCAACATTATGACACGCATTTGGGTTTCATAATATCTCATTACAAGACGCAAATAAATTAGGGATTTTTTTACAAATTTGTAAACATAATATTATTATAAAATTTCGATGTTCTTAAAACGTCGGTTATCATATTATCAAGCCGACATTTGGTACAACCAACTGCAGAATAAATGCCTGTATAAATTATAATCCGACATTATTCTTAAAATAGAAAAATTAGTACAAAAAACTTATCTCATAAGACGTTTTCTCGCACTTGTTCATTACAAAACTTGCCCTAGTGCGAGAAAATGACGTTTTATGAGTCATATGAAATATACTATTTTTGGTTATTAAGTATCCTACACTAGTAAAAATAATGGTAAATTTACTAATTGTTTACTCAATATTGAAAAGTATAGTAAAATTACAAATCTTAATTTAAAAAATGACAATTACAGGATATTTACATAACGTAATTGAATTTTGTGTATTTTTGTTGTAAATTTTCAAGATCAACTTGTAAAAAGTTTAGGAAAAATACAATACTTATATTACTTATACAATTAGGCATAAAACTTCTATTGTAAAGTAGAGACGAAATTTTTAACAGTGTATTGTATAAACCCATGACAATTTTTTATCATTACAAAATCATTGTGTACTTAATTTAAATCTATACAATACCTATAATTTTTATTAAATTATCAGGTAATATTTTAATGCTCTTTGTACCAGCCAAATTGTTTTTAACAATCATAAAACTAAAAAAAAATGCTTGGGAACATGCATTGTTTAAAATCATGGTCAATTTTAAATTGAAATAAAGTTTCCAGGAACTTAACAAATTAATTTGTATCAACAGATTGTATAAAATATACATAGGTTATTAAATAAAAATTATTATAAGAAAAAAATTGTACCAGCAACTTTTATTAATATATATTTCAAAATCTTATATGAGGTGCAGATCCTTTCTGGAGAACAGAACCGACATTAACGAATAAAGCAAATTTTGAGAATTAAAAATATAAGATTATTATGAAATTATTTGTTTTGTTTATCTCAAATTGGAATGGAGAATAAGACGAATTTAATGCAAATCAAATAAATTTAAGTAGCAATCTATACTTCCAAAATACAGTTTAGTTTAAATTAAATTATGTTGTGTGTGGCAAATAACGTCCTTAAATTTTAAAGTAAACTAAAATAATAGTATTTACCGACAAGTTCTCCACTTATTTAAGAAACAAACATAATATGTATATTATGCAGTACAAAATACTATTATATAATATATTATATAAACAAATTAGTTAAAGCAAACTTTAACTGACCAGTGAAGTTATAAATACAAAATGGGTGAATAAAATTTTGTTAAACCGTAGGTATATTTTCTACCTACTATTTTTAGCCTCTAAACCATTATTGCAAAAAACTAGGCCTATACATTAAAATTCCGTTACCACCATCCTAATTAAAATACAAACAGAACAAATCTTTGCTAATTAATTGTTTTTTGCTAATAATGATTCAGCTGGTTGCCAAATTTGCCTTATCGTAATGGATGCAAAACCACTTAAGAAGAACATTGCAAAAACAGTGACGTGAGGGCGTTTTAGGTCACACAAAGCATTTTTTTTTGTATTTTTCTGTTAGTTAAATTTTACGTTTATGTTTATCTAGGTTAATTTTTATTCATTGAACGTACATAAGTGCTTGGGCGTGTACACGTTATAAAGAACAACTAATTGTTACAACAGTAACAAATATATTGTTAAGTGTTTACAAGACTGCAATTAATATTCACACTTTACAGGGTCAAATCGAAAATATTCAATACGTACAATCAGAGAAAATAGTTATGCAATTTACCCATTTTCGTAACGCCCTCTTAAATGTGAAATTAAGCTTTTTTAAAACTGTCTAAAACATGGTGTTGGTATTAGAACTGTCCAATATAACCAAAAACTGTTTAATAATGTCTCAAACTATCTAAAATCACACAAACGTAGATGTATAAATATTATACATATATATATATAGTATAGATTCTATACAGATCTATTTAGATGTATAGATTCTACAGATCTATATATACAGGGTGTTATGTAATTAATGTTATATATTAAAATTCTGAATACCTTTTGACATAAGGAGTAAAGAAAAAATATTTAAAAAAATATTTTTCCAAAGATAAAGAAAAAATATGCATTACAAGTTTTTTATATTTTTTGTGATACGCCACTGGTTACACACTTGGTTTATCTCTGCTCACTTGTGTTCTGTGAGTACATAGATACCAACCAACAAAGTAGCTGTGCGTTGCCAGATGTAAAAAATTGTTACTAAAAATTTTTCTTGCAAAAAATAAATAAAAACTCAATAAATACAAAAGTTTTATGCCCTTAAAGCTCTAATACCCTTCTGTATTTATTTACTCATCCAGCTATTGCTATTGCTTAAGGCAATGATTAGAAAATTTAGTAGGTACCTATTTAAAAAAATCTATAACCACAAAATTAATTTTTTCATCGGTTTTTTTCTTTCTGAAATTGGGACCAGTTCACAGGTTAAATTTTAAAGATTTAATTTGTGTAAATAAATCCAAAAGCACTTCCCTTAGTTAAGATATTTACAATTTGAACACATAACCTAAAATTTGAAAGAAATGCACTAGATTCTGTCATAAAAGTTGGAAGATTTTGTTTGAATTTAGCTTCAGTACAAAAATGACATTACCAACAATTAATAAAAACGCCAAATTGACAATTTGCATTGTTAATTTTGTCATTTTTTTAATTAAGCTGAATTTAAACAATGTTTGTCAACTTTTTTGACAGAAATTGGAAACGCTGTTGTTACCAACCATAACATAATAAATTAAATTAGGCAACCAGATTAGCCTAAAGTCGATCAGTGGCGTACTTTTTGGTAGGATTAAGGTTATTATAAATTATTTTTAGTCTTTTGAATTTAGAAAAAAAAGTTTCAGGTGCTTCTTTATGGACCCTAAGGAACAACCCATTTTATTATATAACATTAATTACAAAACACCCTGTAGATCTGTAGAATCTATAAATCTATATATAGATGAATTGATTCTATACTATAGAATGAAATAATGCAAAATTATCTTAAAAACGTTTAAAATTTTCCCAACTTTAAATTTTTTGACATAATTTATTGCAATTATTTAATTAAAAAAATAATTTATACTTAGTGTCGTATATTTAAGGATCAATGACATTTCGTTTTTGGTTAATGTAACGCCTACCATATAAAATGAAATACGACAAAATGCGTCTTAAACCATTGTTGCTCGCCGTTAAATATGTTTATTAAGTAATTTTCCTATTTACTTTAAAGATGGTACACGCTGATATGCCGTTACAAAATTACACTTATCATAATTTATTCTTGTTTGGTTGTTTTTTAACTAAATAATTAAGGATATTAAACATCTTAAAGTATATTTTTTGTTGAAGTTGACATTTATAAGTTACTTGACAAATGTGGGCAGTCTGTAGGGTTCAGTGGCGGCTGGTGGATTTTGTGTATACCGATATCTCAATTATTAGATATGGGACCCACACCAAATTTTTATGAGTTTATAATGACTTTAAATAAACAAGTTCTGGGCAAGCAGAATTTAAATTTAAGTTTGAGAAAAAAAGAACTTTTTGCTCGGCCGTATACCGTCCCCATGGCGCCCCCAATAAATATAATATAAATTTAATTGGTGCAATAACATTGTTTATCGTCAAATTTCAAATTTTATTTAAAAAATCCAAATCATACAGATTTTATATCATTTAAAATTTTTATTGTTTCTTTGAAAAGAAATATCAAAAGTAAAAAAAAAAGAATAGTAGATTTTTTGAATATATTTTTGAATACATATACATTTAAGCATTTATGGTTATTTTTTTATTTGAAGAGTCCAAGGTTGATTAAATAAGACAAAAGTTGCGTAATTACAAATCTATTAAAATGCCATTTAAAAATTTTAAAAAACTGATAAACATGGCGAAAGCAGAAATCGTTTTAAATTCGTTATAACGAATTTAAAACGATTTCTGCTTATATATTTATATATTATATATTCTTGAAAATTGAAAAAAAGCAAGTTTAATTTATGATTTTT